TTAACTAGCATAATTATGAAACAAGTCAGGTACATAGTTAAAACAAAAATTCTAAACTAATTTTCACAATGTCATATCTGTATATCAATGCTTCTGAAGCTAGCCCTGATTTAATCCTCTTAATATAGTTCTATTTTGTTACAAAAAATGCTTATGTGCTCTAAATTGGAAGAAAATATCAGCAAAATTGTAGTGAGTTTTCTGTATTTTTGTCCACCGAGTGTCTCACCATGGAATTTCATAGAACACCAGTCTCAATTATATTTCCTAGTCATGCGTTGATTCTGAGTATAAAACTGCAACTTTATCAGATCATGAAAAGAAATGCATGCAAGCTAATGAATACCCAAGAACTTTACTTTGGGAACCAGTAGAGGCAATAGAATATTTTTGAGCAAGCCTTCTGAAAACTAAAAATCTATTACAGCAATTATTTTCATGCAAATAAGTAACCAAGTAATAATAGTTGAAAGGTTGATTTTAGCTGTTGTCAAAATTCACATGAATTTTCCAATCAGTAAGTATAAGATTTTCACTTTATAGTGAACTGTACCAATTAAAAATACTTAATTTAAATGATAAATTTACAAAAAGTGCTATATGCTACTTATGGTTATCTGTAGTCTAGCAATATAAAATATAGCTTTGGCAGTAAAAATAATGAAATTAAAATAAACCAATGTAACATGCTTATATTGTCAAGTAATATTGATCCTACAGAAAACACAATGTGATTTTGAGACTTTCTTTAACCTGTATGTTCTGTGAGTTGTACCTTTTTTCACGATCACTGACAAAATTCTACCTACATCAAGCTTGAATTGAAATGTAATTTTTCTGTGAAACTTTCTGTAACCACATTGACAAAAGCATTCACAATCCCTATGTAAGTCTCATTAAACATTAAGTATAACATTCAACCTAATATATATTTTGTCTAATTTCTAATCCATCTGTCTGGTTCATTTTAAGGACAAAGCCCTTTGACTGTCACTATGTGGATAAAATCCAGCAAAGGGCAATGACACAGTTAAAGAAATATGTATTCAAAACAAATTTTAAATTGACAAAAAATATTCAACAAATCAGAATGAAAAATGTGTCTCATGTTGAATTTGTAAAAAAAAAATATTTATTTATACATACAGAACTGGGGTGCAGGCCAGAGGTGCAGGGGTGATGATAAGATTCAACAGAGAAAGAGTGGGGAGCAGAAGAGGCAGATCAATGAAGTACTCTGCTGAGGGGAGCAGTGGGCTGGTCAGGAAAGGTCTACTTTCCTGGGGCTGGGGATTGAACTCACACTGAAGAGGTTCAGGCCAGCTTGCAGTGCTGTGTCATAAACCCCTTGAGCCACCAGGGAGGAGCCCCTAATATTAAATTTATATGAAAATGATAAGTAACCTATTACCATAAATATCATAATTGTTTGTTATGCCAAATGTATGAGGTAAACTCCAAAATTCATGAAGCTTCTCTAAAAATACATGTAGCCTTTTTTAAAAATCAACTAATTTTCTTATATATTAGTAATTTTGTAAACTATGATTTTTCCTTCCTTGGGTAATTTATATTTAAATTTTTAAAATCCTCAAAAATATATTTAGAAATGTAATTCTGTCATTTTAATCAATTTTCTTCTTATAGTACTGGGCAGAAATGTATTGCCTCTTCTTCACCTAATCAAGTTTCAAATCACACTATAAAAACATATAAAAAATTTAGGATTCAAGTTTGATTTTCTATGCAAAACTAAAGGCTCAGAAATGTTTAGAAAATATGAAAATATTGCCCTAAAAAGATTATATTTAACATAAAAAATGTTTGACATGAAAGAAAATCACTGCCTACTTGGTCAAGTTAAGTACACTAAAATAATAAAAAAAAAAAGTAGCTAACAAACTCAGAGTATTAGAGGCCTCTATATTTATCATGTCTTAATAGAAGATTCCTTCTTATCTTCAACTCCCAATTTGTGGGAATTTCCTCTGTATATTATATGGAATATAGTCCAAGATTTCTCTTCATGCTATAGCTTATTCATTCTTACTGTTCAAACTCTATAGCCAGGAATATTGCATTATTTCTTCAAACAGAACCATTTAAGTATAGCCTTTTACTATGTGGGGATAAAGATCATTTTTATTGATGTCATTGCTATCAATTGAATCACACCACCTCATATCTACTGATCTTTATACTGTAGTCTGGTATTCTATTTGACTGTAAGCACAATGGAAATCAATGCCAGTTTCATCATGAAGACATAATATGTATTTCTACTTTGTGAATTGTTTTTTTGGCTAAAACCTTCTCCAGAGTTATTTAGCAAAATAAAACCTCCTCTACAGGGCAGCCAGATAAGAATGCCACCTGTGCAGCCTTGATTAGGATGGCCTTGCACATGGCTTAAAATTCTGGTCTTACCCCTCTCTGGTGGCGCAGTGGGTTAAAGCACAGCACTAAGAAGCTTAAGACAATTGTGCATGAGTTCGATCCCTGCCTGCCCTGGAGGAGATCCACATGGCGTGGCAGACCTCTCCTGACCCCGCCCACTGCTCCCCTCAGCAGTGTACTTCGTCCATCTGCCTGTTCTGCTCCCCACTCTGTCTCTGGTGAATACTCCCACCCTCCGCATCTCTGGCCTGTACCCCAGTTCTGTATGAATAAATAAATCTTTAAAAAAAAAACATCTTGAAATTCTTGTGAATTCTGAACAAGGGAAACACATTTTTGTTTTCAGAGGACATCAGAGACCATGGTACCACCCCTGCCCATAGGAGTGATACATATTAAACCATCGTATAAATTGGTCTTTGGGTTAAAATTTTCTTAAAGTCAATACAGAATTGTAAGACAGCAGGAAGAGAAACACCAAGTGTCTACATTAAAGAAGCAATGTGAGGAAACAGAACCAAAAAGGAAAGCTATACGTATAAATTACATCCTATATTTATTTAAGGATTATTTATTGAACATTTATTATAGAGCATGTATTGTTCTAGAAACCGAGATTACAGCAAAGAACAATACACAACATAGACTTCATGAAATTTCTATTCTTGGGAGCAAATGTGTCTATGGTAGGTGGCAGAGAGCAAAAGGGAGTTTTTAGGAAGATAATTTAATATACCTCCTTTCTGTGGAATTGTTTACCTTTGTAACTGGGAACAATGATAACAATTAAGAACTGTGATTATTTCAATTATTATTACAATGTATTTATTGACTATTGTCTTTTTTTTCTCATAAGGTCTTGACATTTTCCCTTTTTGTATTTATGATGAATCAATAGCTGGCTATCCACTCTGTTCGTTACAATACATGGTTTTCAAAAGACAACATAACCTGCATATTTAAAAAGAGTGTAAATACTCATTTTGTGAGTGATGATAGAACACTTCTTTTTCCTTCTTCATTGTGTGCTCCCTCTTTTACCCAAATTTAATAATATATGAATTGGGTCCCCATCAAACCAGTTCATTTAGATAGGAACAATGATTATCTGGATCTGGGTTAATATTATTACTGGTTATAAATGAAGAACAAGCAAACAAAATCAGAAGAAAAAAAAAAGCCAAGGTTATTATACACGTAGACCAGTTTTATAAAATGGTCCCTTATTTAAAAGGACAAGTGTTCCTCAGTCTTACAAAGTTGTTCTTACTTTTACAGGAAACACCATGTGTGGATGTCACCTTGCACAGTGTCTATCACCTGGCACACGAAGCAGGCAATCGACAGAGCAGACTGGGTGAATGCATAACCAATTAATGAACGGTTAAGCACATCAACAATTTTCCATTAGATAGCCTAAAACTTCCCATACCTTAATGCTAGCACCAGTTTTCAAATATGAGTTAGGTAAACTAACCTATATTTTGCTAGAATGGACATCTGTCCAAATACAATTGCATCGACCTAACATCCTGTGACATTAATGGTAGCTGCTTCAAAATGGCACATCCCTTAGAAATAGTGCAGAATGTTGAAAAGTAAGCACAATTATTCAGACTGAAGTATGGATCTATGAGCCCACGTCCCATAAGGAGTAAAAATCAATCAGGTGTTCATCACAATTTGGAATCATGAGAAGACACAAAGTACAGATCAATATATTAATGTACAAGATCGAAATGCTGCCTGACTGAAAAGGAAAAGTCAACTATTAAAATGCCCTAAAAAGAGAGGATATTTTCAACACTTTCACTCTAGGATTATATAAAATTAAAATTCAACATAGTAACAAGTTGGCAAAATAAATAACGCTACTTTGAAGTTCTCCAGATGCATACTGTTTGCAATGCATAGAATCATAGTACTTTATTTTAAAATATTTTAAGAGTTAAGCAAATATGTCTTTCTACATTAAAACACCTGAAATTTTCCACATGTAGAGATGCACATTTAATCAGGCAGAAATTACTAGCATATTTTCCTGTTTAACATTAAAAGGAGTTTGATTGCAATTTATTTTTGTATTTAACTATCCTCATTGTGAAGAGATCCTACCATATGTTTGCTCAAAAAGTCACATATTTCAGTACATTTATCATTGGTTTTATTGTGGGTGGGAAACACATTTCCTATATATTTTATAATCTCTCAGCAGATTCTTTCGGGCTAAATAGTTTCTGTTTGCTTAAAATTTCAGAAAATTGTCCTAACTCTCAGATATCTGTCATTTAACTTTATTAATTAATATAATTAGGTTCAGAAGGGAGCTCAAATCTATTAATATTAACCTAGAGTCTATATTTTTCATAATCAATACTGTTGATTTTCTTTGTATTGTTTCTGTAAATACCCAACTCAATTTAAATCAAGAGAAGTAACGATGTATCTTAATGTGATATTACTGGACATTCAGAATATTAAGATTTTTGGTTTTAAACTTTTTCAAAGTAAGAAAGTTTTTAATGTTCTTTAGAACTACTGTGTTATCTAAATGTAATTATCTTAAATATGAACATCTTTTGCATCATAAATATACTTCTTACCTGTGCTGCTGGATATGTTAACATCAATACTGATATCAGATATTCCTCCTCCCTTCAGAGATGCTACGCATGTGTATGTCCCAAAATCCGTGAATTTTAAATCAATGATGTCCAAATTGGTCGTTCCTGGGGAGATGTCTGGATCAGTCTGTGTTATAACCATCCTCTCAGAACTTCTTAAGGGACGACCATTTTTAAACCAACTAAATGTTAGCTCCTCAGAAGGAACAGCTTCTACTTGGCAAGATATTTTCACCTCACGCCCGATCTGGATGTTGTCATCTTTGTGATAAGGATCTGGTGTGATCCAAAATCGTCCTTTTTTTAATGCTAAAACATAAAAATTCCATAGTTATTAGTATTACTTTTATAATTTTAAGAATTCATTCATTCCAAGTAATCATATTTGGTCTGCATTAAAATAAAATACATTTATGCTTCTTTGTTAGTTTCAAGTAATGTATACGTCAATAAACTTCTTATAAGTAACTGAGAAATACATAAAGATCCAAGTCACTATAGACTCTGAACACAGATTTTTATACATTGAGTAATATTTTCAGTAATATAAAAAAATATTTTCACTCTCTATATAATATGTAAAAATTGTTAGCACTGAATTCTGAAAATGATATAGCTTGTTTATATAAAATTCTAATCTATTAGAGTTAAAAGAAATCATTTGAACTGTATTGCTCAGTTCTCTACCTATGTCATACTGTAATTATAACATTATTTTAAAGATAAAATCCCTCAAATATTGCACACATTTCACATTAAAGGATATTCATTTAAGGCTGCATCTACATGCTGACCAGAACTCCTTTGGTAAGATAGAGTCAGTTTCTATCCAGGAAGCATTTGCTTTTTTTTTTTTTTTTTAATATTCATTTATTTATGCATATGGAACTGGGGTACAGACCAGAGGTCTAGGGGTGGTGAGACAATTCACCAGAGACAGAGTAGGGAGCAGAACAGGCAGATCAACAAAGCACACTGCTGAGAAGCGCAGTGGGCAAGACAGGAGAGGTCTGCCACGCCATGTGGGTCAGCTCCCTTGTCATGGATCGAACTCTCACTGCAGTGACTGCAGTCAGCTTGCAGTGCTGTGTCCTAACCTGTTACGCACAGGGGAGGGCCAGGAAGCATTTTCATATATATATATAAATAACTACAATTGAACAAGATTTTTTTTTTTTTCTCCAGAATATTTGGTCTGACTGCTCTAATCTACCACTGATAGATACTTCCAGTTGAAACTGTTTGCTGGCTGTCGAATACAGATGGCTAAAAGAACCCCTCAGCAGATGGCTTGGAAAACATGCTCTGTTTGTGTTCTAACAGCAGTGTTTTCTGGGTGTGAGGTCAGTGTTGCTCTCACAGGCTGGGTCGGTAGTGATGGCTACCAGAGGCTGTAGTGAAAGCATCTGTTGGCATCCAAAGGATTTGAGTTCTGCACTTTGAATGAATGATACCATGAAACTGGTATGAAAATGTTAGCTTGTTTTAAAGACAGTAGTTCATTTATACATATATTTTTCTCTTTATCAACATGTTACCCATTTATTTTTCCCATACCAGTACCACTCCTATATGATGAAATATAGCAAATACAAATAAACATGTTCAGAAAAAAATACTGATGATTTGCTTTTCCTATTCAACCTAAATATATGATAAGCAAAATGTACATCATTTTAGAGAAGTCATAGATATTAGAGGCTTCTAAATGCATTTTGAGTCAATGTACCAAATTGAACCTGATTAACCTCAAACCAGTAAAGGTCATATGAAACCATTACAATATGTAGAACCTTGTAGGAAAACTTTAAAGATTATTTTTTTTTCTATTTTATTTTGCTTTTACTTTTCTTTACTCATTAGTTGACAAATGTTTGTATCTGTTTTCTCATTTATATTTTAGTGAGAAGAAATAAATAGATATGTTAAATATTGCCTCTTTTTCTTTATCTTAAAGACATTTATAGGAACGTTTACTTTTGTTAGCACTATACAATTTAAATGAAAATTTCCTTTCATTTGGTAATAATTTCCTTATTATGCTTCTATAGGAAAATGATAAATTGAAATAAAAACCATAACAATTCAAAATTCTAATAGCTAACATATCTATATATTAATTTATTAAAATCTTCATATGATACATATTATGATATATTTCATCTCAAATTTATGTCTTGGTTGCCACAAGCAAACAACAAAATTCACACTGATAAATACAATACAATGCTATTTCAGGAATTACCACTAATATACTAGATAATATTGTATTCAGCTATGTTCTTTGCATAGTGACATATTTAAAACAATAATTGACTGAGAAAACAACAAACTCTTGAGACAAATTAGACTTAGACCACTAGACAATTCAAAAAACACTGATAAAAAGTCATGAAATCATGACTACCTAAAATTTTCTATATTATAATTTACAACTTTTTTATTCATGCAAAATAACTTTTCAATTCCAAAGTAGGGCCTACCGGGTGGCCTAAAGGTTAAGTCTCAGTGCCATCATCACTATAGCCTGAGTTCGACTCCCCAACAGGGAGCTAACCCTCATCTGGCCCTGCAGACTTCTCCTGTCTTGCCTGTAGCTCACCTTAGCAGTGTATTTCAATAAATCTACTTCCATTCCCCACTACCACACCCCTTCAGCCTACCCTCCAGTTGGTCTACACAAAAATAAATAAATAAATAAAATGTATTTAAGGAAAATATTAAAAATTATAAACCTGGCCCTCCCTGGTGGTGCAGTGGCTTAAAGCACAGCACTAAGAAGCTTAAGCCAATTCCGCTGAGTTCAATTCCCGCCTGCCAGGAGTTGACCACATGGCGTGGCAGACTTCTCCTGACCTGCCTGCTGCTCCCCTCAGCAGTGTACTTTGTCGGTCTGCCTGTTCTGCTCCCCACTCTGTCTCTGGTGAAGCCTCTCACTGCCCCTGAGCCTCTGGCCTGTATCCCAGTTCTGTATGCACAAGTAAATCTTTAAAAAAATTATAAACCTTATTGTCAATAAGGAAAAATATTAAAATTATAAATCTAATTGTCATTAAGTTCAAATATGATATATCTTTACTATTTGACTGAAAACAGTATAATTTATTTAAGAAATAGCTCACTGTCAAAAATATTTGTTGATCGCAGTAACAGACAATTCTACAAATTGGTCAAAGTCAATTACATTAATCTTCTAATGACACAGATTCTAAAGAAGGAAAACGGCACAAGTTTGTAAAGTGAATTAAAGTCAAGAAAATCAAAGTAGCATGGATTGCTTTACTCAAAGTCATTTTTTTGAGTTTGTGTTCTTTCATCCAAAAAAAAAAATCTGGTTTTGCATATAAAACAGAAAAGTTCTAAGGTGAAAAATGCTTATGTATGTTTGTGCATCTATCTATAATAACAAGGGCAGTTAAATTTATTTGATATCCTAACTTTCTTTGACTGCTGAGAAAATTAAGAGCATATCTCTGTAAACTAGATACAGGTGCATTAAGAACTTGAAAGTAAGATCAAATTTTTCATTTCTATGTGGCCCAATGTGGGCAATCTAATTTTTATGGGTCAAGTGCATCATTTATAAAAATAGGTGGTGATAGTATTAGGCTCCCTCTGAGACCCATTGTGAGAAATAGCTTATTAGCAGTAGTGTAGAGCTTTGAAAATATAAAGTGTTTAATATAGTTAATCAACTGGGAAGCAGGTTCCTTCGTTTATAATTAAACACTCTCTTTTTCAGTGAACAATTTATAGTAGTTCATGCAATGTTAATTTAAAGTCATTTCCTGCTACCAGTTAAGATTTCAAATGCTTAAAATCAATCTGATTAGTACCAGAGTATAACAGGATCCAATAGACATAACAAGACTCTCCAGAACTAAAGAAACTATGTAAGAAGAGAATAGAAATCCCTTTCCTCAAATGCAATTTTTTAGCCTGAATGTTGAAAATCCCCTAACACCAGCCTGAGAGAACATTAGATTTAGCTTAATGTATCATAAATTGTGATGGATGAACCTGAAAAGGTACTTGTTTAGACTGGCAATGCATGTAAAGCATTGGCATCAAGCTGATCCTCAGTTCTGGCTAATCAGTTTAGAAACATTGCGATATAGTACCATAGCTTTGCTACTCCTGTAATATTGTGAGGACTGAATGCAAACGTGACCCACATTTGCTTTGACAGGCTCCTCTGGAGGACATTCAAATTGCACTCTCCTAAGTTCCTCTATTTGGAGAGATTTACAAAGGTGCTCTGGGAACAGAATGAAACCAGTGTGTGAAAGTAAGACCACTGCAGAGATGAGGGAGAGCCTTCAGTGGGCATTTCCCAAGAGAAAAAAAGTAGATTTTTGTCTATGAATATCTACAGTTTTGATATTCATATTCGATTGCTTCTTGAATTTATCCTTTGAAAAGGGACTGTAAGTATTGGAGAAATCTAGTCCTCTCCCAAATTATAAGTTTGGTGCAGATAAAGCAAAAAGGAGGTTATAAAATTAGATCTTAAAAAAAAAAGAGGACTTCCGGAAGATGGCGGCAGAGTAAAGACGCCGAGATCACCGCGTCCAAGCCGGCATAGGAATTGAGGAC